CCGTATCCACCCCCTCCCTCCGGCACTACTCACCGTGGTCGACGGCGGCCTGCGGCCTCCTCCGTCGTCGAGGAGAGGCTCAGACTCGGTGGTGACAGTCATGTTGGACAACGGGCGGCTGGCCACTGGGACGCGCAGCACACGGCGCCCGGCGCGGCGACGCGGCCCCGGTGCCGGGACGCTGGCCCCCCTCCACGCAACCACGGGCCGCCCCCCGCCCGCCCTTCCCTCGGGGGGTTACATCCGCGAGGCGAGCGGACGGGACGGGAGGGGGGACGCTTGACCAGCCCATCCGTGCGGCCAGAGCAGGGCGCCCGCCGCCCGCACCTCCGCCTGGAATAGTCGGAGCTCCGAAGTTAGTTTGACGAGCTTATACTTGATAAATGAATCAAAACGTTTACAGTTTCAACACACAAAATGTAGCTGACACAACGCGGTGGTTGCTCATTCTGTCATGTTGGCGGGTTACACACTAAACCTAAGTAAGCACAATTTTTAGCAGATGATACCTTAAAAACCTTTTGACTAAATGTAAAGAACATAGAAGTAAATTTAAGGTGTCAGCTAGCTTTCTCAAAACGGCAAGAGAATCAAGCGGAGACCAGAAAACAATTTCGTTAGCGCTGGCGGAACCGTGTCCGAGTGCCTGAGTGTCGCTTCAGGCCCCTTCCCCTACCCTGCTTAACAAATACTAGGCTCCCCGCCCCCCTCCCTGCACAACAATACTATCCGACGGCGCCGGCCCCTCCTGTGCCCTGTGGGCTGTTGTGGGCCCTGTGCCCGCGCGTTCAACGCCGCTTGTACGCTGAAATTGCAAATAACAAGCAACCAGAAATAAATGACAGCTAAATATGGAAGAAAATTTGAAAACAGATCTATTCTTAAAATTGTAAGATAGATTCTTGATTTAGATTTTTATGCATAATTGTGTACGAAATGTGCATAACTATGCACACACTGTGCATGGTTCGATTTGTATTCCGTCAGACTCGGATAGCGCCTTGTGAGTAGGTAACTTGCACACGGCACAGTAATAACTACGAAAACCGACGGAACTTTTCAGTCACCATAACATTAGTTATAGACTCCTTTTTCGTTTTGCACATTATACGAAAAATTTGCGACACATTTACACGACATGCATTGCGTAGTAATGTATTGTGTCTAACAGACATACAGGGTGGTCGGTCCATATGCTTCTTCCTTTTATTTTGCTTATACTGTACCGCATGCAGGCGTGCGGGCGGGCTTGCCTACCGTCGCTCACCGTGGCGTCTTAAGGCCCCGTGCGAGTATGCAACCCGTCCGCACGCCTGCATCTGGTACAACATAAGCAACACAAAGAAAGGGGTCTGTGGACCACCCTCTACCAGCGGTTACCGGTCATCTCTGTTCAAAAATGTATTAAAATAATACTTTTCAATGACGCTGTCAATTTTCAGAACCTTGTAAGTTAAGTAATGGGGCAATTCCGTCCCCTTCCTTCATGGGCTGCATTTGCGCGCACCAAGATAAACACAAACTCCGGGCTACTTCTGTTGTATAGTATCAAGTCAGGCGCGGTATAAGGGGGAAGGGGGGGGGGGGGCGATCGCCCCCCCCCATTGTCTCTAGTGAGCCGCCTGAAAGGTAGGCAATTTGATCTACAAAACCCCTGTATGTAGGCAACCTACAGTGCATCCCCCCCCCCCCCCTGTCGCCCCCTCCTTATACCGCGCCTGTATCAAGTTTGGCCTAGCCTTCCGTCGAAGCCCGAGCCGATGCCCGAGCCAATGCACCAACCAGAACCACTTCAAGCTCGGGTCGGTGGAAGGAGAGGCTTTGAAGGGAGTTGATGGCAGCGGCGAGTGTCTCCCTTCACTCAAAAGTCACACGGGTTTGAGTTTCGACTTTGGCTTTAACAAATAGGAATCAGTGATTTTTCGCCGTAGTCTATTCAAAATTGAGGAAATAATGTCACGTGGCCGAGCCTAACGCGCTAGTCCAACGCAACTACGTACCAATTCACCTAGCCGGCTTGAACCGAAGAGCGGGCCAGAACAACACGAAAACAACAGGAAAAAATTATAATGTTACGGATCTATAAATACTGTGTTTGTTGGTTCTCTCTGGCCCCAGCTGCCTATCATCCCGTGGCTTTCTTCTTTCGTGGCAGAATTCAAAGGAACCGAAAACCGGCTATGAATTCCCCATACGAGCAAACAATTATGAGCTCGCGTAGTACTTGGGGGGCGATATGGGGGATTTTAGAACAACACTCTCTCGGTAGGAGCCGGAGACCTTCAAAGGTTTAAATATGCGCTTCAAATACTTAGGGTCATTTCTATCAAAATTTCTAAACTCTAGCAAAAAATAGTGAAAGAACTTTTTAAGCTTTATCTAAAACTTGGCCGTTTTCTTTTCGGCCTTGAAATCCCTACGCTACGAGTCTGTGACGTTGGCTCATTGACCTTGGACGTTGTAGTAATAGAGAACAGCCTGCCCAAAACGAAACACTCCTCACAAATGTTGTTGACCGGGCAATTGGGTGGTGAAGGTCAAGATTCATCGGATTCGCAGAGCCGACCATGGTCTAGTACAACATTTTTTCTGTGGAGGAAAAGAGGCCGTTGACTGGGGCCACCACTAGCGTAATCCTGTGTACAGATGAGGGTGTAATCCCTGTGTAATCCTTATGTATTCCGAGTAATACTTCAGAAATTTTTTTAAAAATATAACTTAATTTCACCTGTTTTTCCAAATTTAATGGTTTTGGATTTTAGAGTCAGAAATTCAACAAAACTCAAGTGTAATCCCTCAAAAGTCACGTATAATCCAGCTGCAATCACGTAATCCTGTATACATTCTAAATCAAAGTGGTGGCCCCCTCGAAAAAAGGTTCGGCACAGTGTTAGTAACAATTCGTTTGGGATAGCTTAAGCGTTCGGTGATAGGCAGCCCTATAACTTTTGAATTTATATCAACAAAAAGTTTGCCAGCGATGGCTAAGTTGCGAGAACTAATAATGAGGGGGGGGGGGCACGATTTCGATTTAGGATGTACACATCCGTGATTACAGGATTTACACGTGAACTTTGAGGGATTACACATTAATTTTGTTGAATTTGTGGCTCTAAAACAAATAAATTTGGATAATGAGGGGAAAATTAATGATTTTTTAAACAATACCAAAGAATACATAAGGATTTCATAGGGATTACACTTCTATCTGTACACAGGATTACGCGAGTGGTTGCTCCCTCGGCTTTGCTTACCTTAGTTGAAATCCGGTAATACAGGGTGGTCCACAGACCCCTTCCTTTATTTTGCTTATACTGTACCGGATGCAGGCGTGCGGGCGGGTTGCATACTCGTACGGGGCCATAAGGCACCGCTGTGAGCGACGGTAGGCAAGCCCGCCCGCCCGCGTGTATGCGGTACAGTATAAGCAAAATAAAGGAAGGGCCTCGGGAAGGGCTCTGTGGACCACCCTACCACCCTGTATATCTTGCCAAGCATCAGGTCCCACAAATAAATAAGCTTTCGCTCCAATAACAAAGTTTCTATTGCGGGATACATTTACAAGATGTTACATTTCACATAACGCTATAGGCCATGCCAACAGACAATTGGTTTACTGAGAGTCAAACCCTTTTTCCCCGTACTTTAAATAAAAAGGTATTCGGGATCTGTATAAAAAATATGGCCCAAGGACAAAGACATCGCGAGTCTACGACGTCACCGAATCCTTGCGTAAGTTAGCTAAAAGTAAGAATTCTGAGAATACACATCCCGCGAAAACAAAAATACGATAGCTAATCCCCTGAGTACAACGATGGCCAGTTCTCATTCGACTCCTTAATTGAGCAATGAGACTGCTTTTATGTCTTTCCTATGCGTTGTATAACTTTACTGTACGACTGCGACATTGTCGTTTCTCTGACACATGAGACATAACTTATACTTGTCTGCGTGCTGTCAGTTCAGGAGGCGATTCTATGCGCGTACATGATGAACACACACTCTCCATTAGTCCTGTGAGAAGCTTCAAAATATGTTAAGAGGATCTATCCGTAATTTGCCAATTCCATCAGGGAAGGCCCACTCCGGCCAACAGCCGCACTCGCCAGCCGCTATACAATCAGGAAGGAGTGCGACCGGTGAGAGGGGGGGGGGGCGCTACTACGCGGAGGTCCGGGGATCCGAGGTGGCACGGCGCGGGGGGAGCCGGGAGCAGCCGGGAGCTCGACCCAGCGTCCCAGACCCGGATAGCCCAACAATTACCGAGCGGTCTGCTTTGTTTGAGTTTGAGCACTGTGCTGGAGCGGCTCCGGCCAAGGGCTCTCAGTCTCAACGCGGTCACCAGGCGGCCACCGGGCCATAGCAAGGGGCCTAGTAGCCACTCTGCAGTAATCTTCATTGGCCCTTCGATTCTCACAAGATTGGTCTTGCTGCTGCTGGGCACGGAAGGTGGTTGGGTATTGTCCGTGGGCTCGAGGGGGCGCCAACATGACAACACGTAAAACATGTCGTTACTACCCATTCAAGGTAAAGGTTAACTCCGTGACGTAAGGGGCATTTGCGCCTGCGGCCCGAGCGGGTAGGCAAGCCTGTGCAGCAGGGGTCCCCATAGCGTAAACACGAGCAAGATGCAGTGCTCGCGTGCGTGAGTGAGAGGAGAGAGAGGGAGAGGAGAGTGATATCCTCTCGCAGCTCTCCCCGGCAGAGGTGGCGGCGGGCTGCGGACTATGCTATGACGTGGGTATCGCGTGAGCGCGGTCGTCGGGCCGGGCGCTAGTATACGTTGTCGAAAACACACGGCTCTAGGAGGCTCTAGGAGGCTCTAGCAGCGGCCAACACCAACACGTATACGTAACACCTGTCCGTCGGCCGCCCCGACTCCCCGACTTCGCCGCGCAGCTGCTGATCGGAAATCGCCTCGAAGAGTCGCCTCCCCTCCTGCCCGGGCCCCCGTGCCCCGCCTCGCCATCCCCCCTCCCGTTTCGCTCTACCCCGGCGTCCTCGGTCGGAGAAGCCCTTGCGGAGCGCAACGTCCCCTCCCTTTGCAGAACGGCCCCCCCGCCGAAGGCCCCGGCTCTGGTCAGGGAGACCCGGCTCGCGGGCCGCGGTCGCCGGGCGGGTCCGCCCGGCGGCGGAGAACTCACCTATGTTTCCATCCGCGGTTTCGCCCCGTCCACCCCGTCCGCCCCGCCCCCACCCACGGCGGGCGCAAGCTGCTTGCGAAGTGACCCCACCACCTCTCTTGCTGCCTCCGTCTCTCTCTCGCTCCCCGTTGTACCCTTGAATTGGCTACGTGGCAGACGACCGCGGGCCTCTTGAGGGCGTCCCCCGACGTCCCCCAGCGTCCCTCCCCACCGCCCCGCCCCAGCACACGACCGGCGGGGAGGGTCCCCGCCAGGGTCCCCGCCAGGTGGGCTCGCGCATCGCGGTCGCGCCTCGCCATAGTTGCCCTGCCACCGCCATGGAGAAGGGGCGCAAAATCGTCAACGGCGCCGACGCCGCGCTTCCGGACTTCACGACCGACCGCTTCCCACACCTCGAGCGGGGCGACTTCGCCGTGCTCTCCGACGAGCACCTGCGCTTCTTCGAGGACCTCCTCGGCAAGGAGAATGTGGTGACGGACCCCGTCAAGGTGGCGGCGCACAACATCGACTGGGACCGCCACGCCCGCGGCCAGGGCAACGTGGTGCTCAAGCCCGCCACCACGCAGCAGGTGACCGACGTGCTGGCCTTCTGCAACGCGGAGCGCCTCGCCGTCACCCCGCAGGGCGGCAACACGGGGCTCGTCTGGGGCAGCGTGCCCGTCTTCGACGAGATCATCCTGTCCACGCAGGTAGGGTGTCCTCTTGTACAGTATTGCCTCCTCTGCCACACACTGTACACGAAGTCTAACGATTCTCCCCTCATGTTGCGCAGCGCCTCAACGAGATCCTCAGCTTCGATGAGGTGTCCGGAGTGCTGACGTGTCAGTCGGGCTGCATCCTGGGCGACTTGGACGCGTACGTCCGAAAGCGCGGCTTCATCGTGCCGCTCGACTTGGGCGCCAAAGGTTAGTGAAAGGAATCCATCCAGATGGGGGGGACGCTCACTGATAAATCAGTGTACCAGGTGGCTGATTCACGCCGCGCACTTTCGTGGTTATACTGTACCGCATGCACGCGTGCGGACAGGTTGCCTATTCACACGGAGCCATAAGGAGCCGTGGGCAGCGAGAGCATAGGCAAACCCGCCCGCACCCGTGCATGCGGTACAGTGAATCAGCCACCTGGTATACCCCCATCAACAAGAATTGAAAAGTATGAGTATTTTTTAAAAAAAGATTAGGAGCGCGTTTGCGATCAATTGGGTTACAGGGAGCTAAGGGCAACTAAAGGCAACCCTACAAAGTGCCCCCTTTTCCTGCACATGGCACAAGGCATTCAGGAAACCTATACCAAGCCACACACTAATTTTAACATTTTAGAAAAACAAATGAAGACGGACTTGAAAAACAGTACAATAAGATTTTGGGGAGATAAATTATTAAAATGAAAATAAAAGTGACAAAAAATGAAGAAACAACATTTTTAAAAACTACATTTGCTATTATAAATAGAACGCCCTCGTTAGTTGTGTGACGTAACGCCCAAATTGTGTGACGTACACAAAAGAGATACGCCTGCTCAACGGCCTGACCTTTTGCAGGAAAGTGCCACATCGGCGGCAACTTGTCGACCAACGCGGGCGGCGTGCGGCTGGTGCGCTACGGCAGCCTGCACGGCTCGGTGCTGGGCGTGGAGGCGGTCCGCGCCGACGGGACCGTCATTCGCCTCATGAACACCTTGCGCAAGGACAACTCGGGCTTCCACCTGAAGCACATGTTTATCGGCTCCGAGGGCACCTTGGGTGTCATCACACAGGTAGGTGACGCGACAGCGCGGCGGTTTGACCCGCTGCCGGCGGCCCCAGTCCAGCGCAGTGTACCAAAACACGACCTTTCTCAACTCACCGCCGACCCCTTCCCCGCCCCGCAGGTCGCGATCCAGTGCAGCGTGGCGCCCGCCGCGGAGCACGTCCTGTTCCTGGGCGTGCCGTCGTTCAGCCGCGTCGTGGACGCGTTCCGGGCGGCGCGCCAGGCGCTCGGCGAGACCATGTCGGCGTGCGAGATGATGGACGGCGAGTGCATGCGCGTGGTGGTGGACAAGCTGGGCTACCGCAACCCGCTGCAGGACGACCACCCCTTCTACGTGCTGGTCGAGACCAACGGCAGCGACGCGCAGCACGACCGCGAGAAGATCGCCAAGCTGCTGGAGGCCGTGCGCAGCTCGGGCGTGGCGACGGACGGCGTGCTCGCGTCCTCCGAGGCCGAGATGCGCACGCTGTGGGAGACGCGGCTGCGGGTGGGCAAGGGCCTGTGGGCCGACGGCTGCCTCTACACGTTCGACATCAGCGTGCCGCTCAGGATGTACTACGACATCGTGCCCGAGATGACCATGCGCCTGCGCGAGGCGGGCCGCCACGTCACCAGGGTCTGCGGCTTCGGCCACATGGGGGACAGCAACCTGCACCTGGCCGTCACTTCGCCCTCTTTCGACTCGGAGCTGCTCGAGTGGATGGAGGAGTTCGTGTACGAGTGGACGTCCCTGCGCAGCGGGTCGGTGGCCGCCGAGCACGGCGTCGGCTTCAAGAAGAACCGGTTCCTCCACCTCTCGAAGACGGCGCCCGCCCTCAGTCTCATGAAGGACTTGAAGGACCTCATGGACCCCAAGGGTATTCTCAACCCCTACAAGGTGCTACCCCTCGGTCTGACGGGCAAGTCTTGCTAGGAGGGAGATGAGGCGAGGAGGGGCTGAGGGCGCCCCAGCGTGACTGGGCCCGGTAACCGTGACTGGGATGCGTTACTGTGAACCGTAACACGCCAGGTGCGAGCGTAGGTGAACATGAGGGAGCGCATGTGTCTATGTATGAAGGAGGAGGAAGGTACTAAACCAAAAAAGGGTATCAAAAGCACACCTGGAGATGTGGATTAGAGGAGTTCTCCTTGACAGAACTTTTGAAGCCTATCTCTCCAGGCAGGCCCGTGATTCACTCGGTTAGTTTTTAGTTAATCTTAAAACCGGAGATTGTGATAGAGCCAACTAGTATTATGTTAATGAATTAGCTCTGTGCCCTTTTCGGGAAATGTTAGGTCTAAGTTACGCGGGAGTTAAGCTTAATAATGCCATGTTTTGAATGGAATTTTCCTCCTGTGATTCTTGACTTAATTTATGTGTTAAATGTCACCCTGTGCCATATTACTTATTACGACAATAAAACAATGGAGCGATACCGCAAACATGATCCTGGTTGTTATCGACCCGTCCTACATCAACAAGTGGAACACAACCAAACAATGATGTCGACCTGACCGTCCCACCTCGCGGCCCCAAAACAAATACTCATTCAGAACTCGATCCGCCAGCGAGACACTCGAAGCCGCATTAGAAACAAGAGCCATCTAGAGCCTCTCTATTACACGGCGGAGAATACGGGGACCTGCCATAACAGCCCTCCAGCGGCCCTGCAAGATGCACCCTTAATATCCCACAAGAAGCGAAACGCACGCGCGAATTTCACGACAAAAAGTACAAGTAAAGGTTGATTTCAAACCGGTTTAAATAGGGCCCATCGCGAATCACAACAATAAAAACCTTCCCGGATTTCAAAGTTGTTCTCCGACTTCAGTCCCGCGTAACCAGCAAAACGTAGGCATTTAGGTCAGCCCCGGACACCCTGAATTGACAGTGTATGTTTTTCGGCATTCTTATTACGACTCTCATCTCAACCTTCGGCGGCTTGTCTTCGTCGTAGCTCGCTCTAGCCTGCTCAGTCGAGGTGACGCACGGCGGTCGGCCCGCCACGCCACGCCACGCCATCTCCGGCGACCGCCACTTTTCGGCTCGACTGGAGGGATCTCGCTCGATCCCGGCCCGATCCCTCTCCCGATACTTCTCGCGGCCAGCCCGCCCGCCCGCCCACCCACACGGCAGAACTACTCCTCCCCACCCCTGCCCCCACCACAACCGCAACCCCCCCTCCTTTCTGAGAAGCCCCTTTACGTAACGGCGCACCCTCTAGACGAGCAGGCCGCTCTTGGTGGCGAGCAGCACCCGACGCCCGGACCGCAGTCCGTCGCCAACCAGCGGCCGGCAGGGTCAGCAGCATTGGTCCGAGCCAGCGACCCAGACAAGAAGCGGTGAGTAGTCCCGAGGGTATGCAGAGCTGCGTCTCCCGCGGGAGGGAGCGAACAGGAAGAGGGGGGGGGGCAACAACAGCACCTTCTCTGAGCGTGGCGCGCGGCGGTCACCAGCGGTTACACACACTCCGATAAATTACGTTCCCGGTCACGTGATCACGTGTTATAAGTAAGCTAAGAATAGCTCAGTGCGCGGAGGAGCAAAGTTTCCATCCAGCGAGGGGTGCCCAACTGAGGTAATCTGGTTACACAGATTTGGTAATCATCGGTAATCACTGGTAATCATCACTTTCCTCAGTGACAAATTAAGGCCTGCAGTTTTGTGCTCACATTGACAAAATGCAGACGTGCATGTTGGAAATGATGAATTTTCCTCCTTTCTCATGGACAAAACTATAATCTGTCCACTGATAGGATGCAAATTTGTAACTCGTCAGCTTGAAAATTGCAACTGGTTAAGATGTGCATCTTTCTCGGGACGAAAAAAAGCACTTTCGGAGTAAATTTGCAGGTAAATCCGACCTTGTATTTATTTATAATCTTTGGTATCCCTAGGTAATCATTGGTAATCATTACTATTTGGTAATCCGGTGTACACATTTATCTCAAGTTGGGGACCCCTCGCTATCCTGCAATGGATTTCGGATTGGGAGTCAATATGAGATGAGGGCGGACAAACGGTACCATGGATTGGCGAGGTGGCTGGAGGGGGGGAAAGGGGGACGAGGCGAGGGATATGATGAGTTCCGGTTTTGGAGGTGGGAGGCGGCGGAGCTAGCAACGAAGCGAGGACCGGGCTGCGTATCGCACTCAGACGGAGACAGCAGCCTCCCCATCCCAACACTCCCCGCAGGTACCAGGGTATCTGCAAGGTACCTCCAAGGCACCTCCAGGGTACCTCCAAGGCACCTCCAGGGCACCTCCAGGGCACCTCCAGGGTACCTCCAGGGTGCCTCCAGGGTACCTCCAGGGTACCTCCAGGGCACCTCTAGGGCACCTACAGGGCACCTTAGGGTGCGGCTTATTTTGACGATTTTGGATTTCAAACTTGCATCACGGCTTTTTCTTTTCCTTTTTGTATTTGAAGCACAGGTAAAAAATCCCATGGCCCTGGGATAAGGCTAACCCGTGCCGCATCTTACGTTTAAATTTACATGTAATTCTTATGGGAAAAAAGCCTTAAAATCGAAATTTGCATCAAGCGGGCCTCCACTGCATATTTTTTGGCAAAATCGTGTAGAAACGCAATCCTCTAGTGATAACAAACCCGGCGATGTGCCACACATGATTACTAACAGCAGAGTTCATGAGGTTTACATTCGCAATTTTCATTAAAATGATGAAAATTTGCCTAAATTTGTGCCACAGACCGCATTAACTGTACAGTGAAAGATCATGTGTGACACATCGCCGGGTTTGTTATCGCTAGAGGATAGCGTTTCTGCACGAGTTTGTCAAAAAATATGCAGTGGAGGCCTGCATGATGTAAATTTCGATTCTAATGCTTTTTTCCCATAAGAATTACATGTAAAT